GCAGCTGCCCGGTACCACCAGCTTCCTCCAGGGCCTGCTCTGTGCGGTTGAGCAAGGTGGGTTGTTACCCACACACCCTGCACCCCATCCACCCTCCCCGCCCACAAGGAGCGTGTCCTGGCCCAGCCAGCGGGGAATGTCTGGAACCGTGCCTCCCTGAGGTCTGAGGGCCGTGGGAAGGAGCTGGCTGTCCTCTCTCCATCCCACTCTTGCTCTGTCTGCACTGGAGCTCTGAGGGGCAGCCATGTCGCATTTTTAGTGGAAGGGCTGCCACACTCTGGGTCTCCTTGGCCTTGGCGGCCATCTCAGCCATGAACTGGGCAGCGAAGGGCCAGCAGTGCTTTCTCACCTCGTGGCCCCAGACAGCAGCCCCTCAGGGTAGTGGCCGGTCCTTGTCCTGATCTCTACTGCACAGCGGGCCTTAGCTACCTGGTGGAGTCACAGAGAGGGGGGCTCTGGATGCAGCAGCCCAGCTGTCCACTGAGCCATGCCAGACACGGTATGAAGCGTTTACCAGAAGGCGCAGAGCCACTGCAAGCCAGAATGTCAGAGCCAAGATCCCAGAGGCAGGAGCGCAGCAGAGCATCTGAGCTTCTGTGACTCCATCCCTGCAAGTCACTCTCACGGTTGAGAGACTCAGAAGCCAAGCGGGCACAGAGGTCTATGGAGATGAAAACCAGAGATTGGACCCACAGGAGGGAGAGCAGGAGTCGGATGCTCCCGTCCCATCGGGTTTGGCCCAGACGAACTGCGAAGGGAATGGGAAAGGGGCTGGAGCTGGAGCAGCCACAGGACTCCGGGCATCCCGCCATGGTACCCCAAAGGGCCCGGTCACCAGCCCCACACCCTCCCTGTGGTGGGAGAGGGGGCTGGGGAGCAAGGCTCTGACCCGCCCCACCTGTCAGCACCTCAGCTCCTGCCACAGCCGCACAGCCCAGGCACCCAGTGGCCAGACCGTCAGGGGCCAGTGGCGTCCACAGACTTCAGGAAGAAGCCCGCCTGCCCACAGCAGCTCTTGTAGCACAGACCTGAGGCGTGGGGACCCTGACAGGCCAGGAGGGACTGGCAGGAGAGACTGCTGGCCCAGAGTGGCAGCGTTTCACATGCATTTGTTAACATCATAGACAGAGAAGAATAAGAAATAATTATTTTTGGGCTCATAGCCAAGAAAACTAGTTTTCTGAGTTAATCCGGTGAGAGCTGTGAACCCACAACCTCTCATGTCATACATCATAAAACTCCGTCATGATCCATAAAGCTGGCCTGGCCCAGCGACAGGCCGGCTCCTCCCGCAGACCCTCATTAGGCCGGCGTCTGTGACCTTGTGTTCCTCCCGACTGCCGACTGCTGGGATCAAGACCAGCTTTAATTAAAATTCAGCAATTAAGGGTCTGGGGCACCAGCTGAGTTTTACTCAGCCTTGGAGAAGAGCTGAGGTGACAGGGGCTGGGCCACACAGAGATGGCATATCCCTGCCCGCCATCCAAAGAGGACACACCCCTGGCGAAGGTAGGGCAGCCCCTCTGCTCTGCGTCTGTCACCTCGCCTCCTCCCCGGGCTGCCCCCTCTCCGGTGTTTCTGCAGCAACAGTGCCAGCCTGGCCACCTGGGTGGGGAAGCGAGGCTCTGCCCCTGCAGGGCCGTTGGCTAGCTATGGTCTCGTTTTTCAGAAATGCGCGCACTTGGTTAGGTGTGAGATGTACGTACATGTGGAACTTCATGAAATTCCCTTTTTATTCCTCTGTTTCCATGGTGATTTTACCATTTTCATTGTGGTTCTGTTTACTTGCCCTTGCTTCATCCTTTCCTCAAAGTCCCTTCTGGAGAGTGTCCATCTGGCCCTTCTCCTCACGTGACAGACGCCCGTGCTCTGCTTCTCTGGTGCCGCGCCTGTCTGTCTTTCCCTCATCGAGTTTCGTGTGTGGGTCCCTGGCCTACTGGGCTCCTCCCCGGCTCCAGGCTCCTGTTTCCTCTTTTCAGAGGCCTGGGCTCGGGCAGCTCGTTTCCCTGTAGACACTTTACCCACGGCCCCCGTGGACCCACCCCATTCCCTCAGTAGCCCGGTCATCCCAGACCCTGACCCTGACCCCGACCCTTCCCGCTTGCTCCAGCGCCTCTGCTGCTCCCGGAAGGCCCAGCCGTCTTTCTGCTCTTCCCAGCACCTGGGGCTCCTGTGGGCCTGGCCCAGTTCGCCCTCGCACCCTTCTCTCCTCCCGAGCTGGTTCCTGGGCCCGCGAGGGAGCCGGCCCAATGGACTCCACACCGAGTCCACACGGAGAGAGGAGTTCTCGGCCTCACCTCGCACTGCGTGTGTTACACTCACCCCGATGGGCCAGAGCTCCACCTGTGGCCTTTCAAAAGATCTTTATGACCTTGGGGTGGGCAAAGGTTTCTTAGAATTGAAAAAATTGATAACTTGGACTTCACAAAAAACTAAAACTTCATCTTTTGCAAAGACACCATAACAAAAACAAAAGAGCGGGCCACGGGCGGGCAGGAAGTGATCACAGTCTGAGCAGGTCGGACAAAGAGCTCTCACAGCCCAAGGAATCAGCCGGTGGTTTGGCTTCTTTTAATGGGAAGAAAATTGAAAAAGTGCTTCTCAGAGAACACGTGAAGTTCAGCAGCACAGGAAGCGACCCCTCGAGGCCGCTGCTCACAGAGACCCCCAAGTGAAATCAGCAAGCTGCTGCTCACAGGCCCAGAGGGCGAAGGGTGTCCAGACCACCACGTGACCCAGCATGAGTCAGCACCTCTGCGTGAATATTCATGAAAACTTTACTCATGGTGTCAAGTCCTGGTCCGACACTCACCAGAGGGCAGGCGAACACCCCTCCCCCGCAGTGTCCCTCTGTGGGGGGTGGGAGGCCCTGAGGCCGGGGGTGCAGGTCTCAGGGCCTGGAGCTGAGCCCGGGAACCAAGCTCTGGAACAGGCAGAGAACAGACACCACAGAAGTCAGCTCAGAGATGTTGGTGGGCGGGGGGAGCGGGTTGGCACAAACAGGCCCCAGGAAGCTCTCGGGGTGGAAGTTGTGGCTTCTGTAGTGATTTACACAGAAGTAAAGATGTCAAAAGCCATTGAACTATATATGCTAAAAATGGGTGCATTTTATTGCTCATATCAATAAAATCAACTTAAAAAGGAAGAGGGGCATTGCCCATGCCCCGTCATGTTGGTCCCTCTGGCTCCTGTCCCTGCAGCATCTGCAGCGTCCCATTTGTACCACAAAAGCGTTGTTCTGTGGTCAGGTCACTCCTCCCCGCTTCCGGCCACCACCTTCTGCCCTGCAGCCTTGCTGCCCTGTATCCAGGACACCCATAGTCCCCAGGGAGCTCACATTCCAGGGGCATTGGCCTGGCCTGGGGCGCCCTTGGTGGGCCGGGACCTCCTGCCACCACAGTCAGACCTGCTCTTACCAAGCCACCTCCCTTGCAGGCTGGGCTTTCCAGAGGCATGGGGTTGCATCCCAGGCCGCACCCGAGCACACAGGCCAGTGGGGCCTGAGGCCTCCCCACCTCCCAGCCAGTCATCCGCTGTGGTCATTTGGAGTCCTCTCACCAAGGAAGCTCTGTGCTCGGCAGGCCCTGTGGGTCCCTGGGGGCTTGGAGAGCAGAGGCCTGTGTCTGGGGCGCATGGATAGGTCGTGAACTCAGAGGCCTCCTCTCCCCTCCCCTCAGGGGAGGACCATTCACTCCCTGTTTCCCACCACCCAGCAACAGGGCATAGTCAGACCAAAGGTGCCATTCTCAAGTCTCTAAGGCAATTTACAAAATGTGCCCTACCAGAAGGAACTTCCCAGACTTCGGGCTGGGAGGCAGCTCCAGCTTGAAGTCCTCTGAGGCAGGCCGGGTGTGGGACAGCCCCATGCTGTGTCAGCCTCGCACGCATCCATGGCCCTGGTGCTGGCAGCCAGGAGCCTTGGTCCCTTGGGGGCGATCCTCATTGGAAACCTCTCCAGATGGTCACGTTAACACTGGTGCCACAGAGATGGACCCGGTGGGTCCAGACACGGTAGCTTCACCTCCCTGGTCACCATTTTCCATGGGATTTGGGACACATGCCCATTTCTCACCAGGCACATTTGGGCTTCCTGGGTCTTGTGTCACCCAGCCACACCCCAGACCCTGCCCCAGAAGCAGCTAGGGCAGCTCAAGGCCTCTGAGGAGCGGCAGTGACCAGCCTCCCAGAGAGCTGTCCAGCAGACAGCCCTGGACTGGTCCTGTCCCTGTGGCCCCTATACAAGTACAAGGAGGTGGGCTCCATCTGAGCCACACCCGAGCGTAGCTCTGTACATGCAGGTTGCCAGAAACCTGCCGCACCCATCCCAGCGGATGCCCAGACCTGGGGCAGCCTCATACGTGGGCACCAGGGTGTGGGGGACAGGGCAGCAGACAGGCAAGTGTGCCACCGTCTTCAGCCCTTGATGGGGGAGCAGCGGAAGCCCGCCCACTTCCCACCTATGGCGGGAGAGCCGCTTCCCGGGGGAGGGGTCCTGCCTAGGCCTGTATCCATCAGTAACTACTGTAACGACAGCACAAACACACACCAGTGTCAGCACACACTTGCTAGCTCACAGTTCTGTAGGTCAGAAACCTGGGCGGCCTTGGCTGCAGTCTCAAGTGTCTCAGAGGCTGGAATCGAGGTGTCAGCAGGTGGGGCCTCACTGGGGACTCTGGGAAGAATCTGCCTTCAAGGTCATTCAGGGCATGTCCTTGGGACAGACGTCTAGGAAGGACAGGTGTGCCACCTGGGCCATGGCCTCCTGCCCCCCTGATCCCTCAGGCAAGGGCACACGCACCCACGTGTGCTTCCCAGGAGAATCTGGGAACCCGCAGCCCCGGCAGCTCTGTGCACGGGGTCTGTGAGCCACCGCTGAGTTGCTGTGTGGTGGCGCAGTGGGCGGAGCACAGGCAGCCGGAAGGGATAGCCAGGCTGCCACCCGCAGGAGCACCCAAACCTCGAGTTTTGGGTGGGCAGCTATCCTCTGCTCCGTCCCTTAGGTGGTCCTCATTGTTAGTGGGAACCTGAGCTTCCTGAACTGGCTGACCATCATTCCCAGTGTCGCCTGCTTCGACGACGCCGCCCTAGGGTTCTTATTTCCCTCTGGGCCTGGCGGCCTCCAGGACCAAGTCCTAAAGATGCAGAAGGAGGAAGCCCGAGAGGCCCGGCCTACGCCGACAATCGGTAGGTGGACACCTGGGGACGTGAGCACAAGGCCTTTGTTCCCGGACCCAAGACAGCTGGTCCCCAGAGGTGCTGGCCCATTCTGATTCAGTGACAACCAGGCCCACCCCAAGGGCACAGTTGTCGTGACTCAGTTTCCACATCCTCAGCTGGGGGAAAATGGAGGTTGTATGCAGAGGCCCCTTCCCAGAATCCCAGGCGGGCGGCCAGTGGACTGCCCTCAGCCTCTGTGAGCCCCGAGGGGCCAGACAGAGACCAGGGTCTGGGGGGCCAGCTGAGGGGTAGGGGTGGCCTTAGCTGTTCCCCATGGTTGGGGTCGGGGCCCAGGGGGCAGAAGCTTACCAACCGGCTCTCTCTTTCTGGGCCCAGGCCGTATGGTGCGACAGGCAGCCAACCTGGCACTGGGCATCCTGGTCGCCTGGCTCAGCATCCCTGTGGTCCTCAACTTGCTGAGCCCCAAGCAGGTCATGAACAGCTCCTTCAACCCCCTCAGAATCGTCAACACATATGGAGCCTTCGGAAGGTACTCCACCCTCGTTCCCCGGCGGTTTCCCTCTCGGCTGACTCCAGCCTGGGTGCGTTCTCTCCTTGTTCACCACATGGGAGACCCAGCCCTGACCAGCCAGGTGGGCAGTCCTGGGCCACCCCTGGGCCATCCCGCACCTGCTCCTGCTCCACCCACAGCCGCAGCTCCAGCCTCACCCTGGTCTGACCGGGGCGGAGAGCCAGGTGGAGAGGCACCGCCGCCCCACCTGCGACTGTCCAGGGCTCGGCCCACGCTGACTCCGTCTCCTCGACAGCATCACCAGGGAGCGGACAGAGGTCATCTTGCAGGGCACGGCCAGCCCCAACGCCAGCGCACCGGACACCGTGTGGGAGGACTACGAGTTCAAGTGCAAGCCAGGCGACCTGAGGAGACGGCCATGCCTCATCTCCCCCTACCACCACCGCCTCGACTGGCTCATGTGGTTCGCAGCCTTCCAGGTGAGGGCCCTCTTCTCCTCCTGCCCCACCATCCCCCCAACCCTGCACATCCAGGTGCTCACGGCAGACTCAGGCCCCCATCACTCCGGTATCCCCGATGCGGTGTCACCCTAAGGAGGGACACGTGGGGCCCCGGAAACAACTGCGGGGCCAGTGGGAGAGGCGGGTCGGGGGCGAGATCAGACCCCGCTGGAAACAACACTGCCGCTACACAGCACTCAGCCGTGGGTGCCGGTGCAGCCCCCACTGTGACTGGCCTCACACAACACCTGGGCCCTGGAGGACAGGAGGTCAGGCTCGGGGGGTTGTCAGCTGCGAGGCGGCTCCCGGTCCCAGCCCCCGAGGCAGGACTCACCTCACTGCTCAGCCACTGAGGAACAAGCCAGGACACGCCACCTCAGATCCAGGGCCAGGCAGCAGCATGTGACAGCACTCTCCCAGGGTCCCACCCTCCCGGGGGCCGGGTTTCACTCATGGAGCAGCCTAGACCCGGACAAACACCTGGCTAGGGCGGGCGGCCCCGAGGCCGGGCTTTCTTCCAGGCCTTGCCCTGTGCTCTGCTACACACAGGCTCTGCCTCTGGACAGCAGTGGGTCCCCTCAGGCACGGGCCCCCAGGGGCCACCCTCAGATACCCTTGCAGAGGACCAGGCACCACAGTCAGCCTCCCAAAGGCCCTCTACCAGAAATGACAAGACCAGGCGTGACCGATGCCGGGGCCACCAACATTCACAGAGCGGTAGCTGGGGCCAGAGAGAGCCTGGAGGTGCCGCATCTGCCCCTGACCCATCTCACCCGGTGTGACAGCCTCAGGAAGGCTCCATCACTTGCCCGAGAGCCCAGGGCTGCCAGGTGACAAAGCCAAGAGGTGAGCTGGCATGGCTGGGCCCTGCGCCTGCCGCATCCAAGCTACCCGAGGACAGGACAGTGGGGCAGGAGCCCGGGCACGTGAATGAACGGTTCCTGTGAACAACTGGCCGACAGATGAGAATGGAAGCTGGCAGCCCCTCTGGAGGGGAATCCAAACCAAAGCAATGGGGCGTGGGCGCCCAGGGCAGCCCACTGACCGAGTTTCAGTCCCACACCGCACAGATGACAGACCACTGTAGGGACTGGCGTGGCAGCGCCCTCTGGAGGGAGCAAGCAGAGAGCACGCCCTCTCCTACAGGGCCTGGGGGGCCACACCCCCACAGCTCCTGCCTACACCAGGTTTCAAGCTTGTGGCCTCAGCCTGCTGGCACCCAACAACAACCCGGCAGCAGTGGCCCAAGCACCCTTCCTCTTCTTGCCCCCAGACCTACGAGCACCACGAGTGGGTCATCCACCTGGCAGGCAAGCTCCTGGCCAACGATGCCGAGGCTCTGTCCCTGCTGGCCCTTAATCCCTTTGCAGACAGGGCCCCTCCCAGGTAAGATTCTTCTCCCACGTGGGACCCCACCTACTGTGGCCTCAGCTGCCTCTCAGGGCTGCTCCCCCAGTTGCAGAATGTGCTCTGGGGTTCAGGCCCCCATCCTGGAAACGTGCCGGGTGCAAAGGTCCACAGGGCCTCGAGTGACCCCCTTTCACCAGCACCACTCACCTGCTGAAAGGACACGGGCTCCCGGGGGAGGGGCGGACGCCCACAGCAAGTCCTGGCCTTCAGGCCTGCCGGGCTCTGGGAGCACTCGGCCTTCCTGGAGGTAGACACCCGGGTCTCCTTTCTGGAGTCCTGCTGCCCTGCACCACTGGTCCGGGGCCTGGTTGTGGTGGGGGCTCCTCATGGGCCCCTCTGGCTTCCCTGAGCAGCCTCTCTCCACGGCGCCCCCAGAAGTGCCTGGATAGACACACAGCCCCTCCTGGAGTGCAAACCTGGGACCCTGAGCCTGGGGCCCCCTGAGAAGCCAGGCCTCAGCAGGCAGAGGCTGCTGCTCTGGGCAGGGGCTGCAGGCTGATGCCCACCCTCCCTGCAGGTGGGTCAGGGGAGAGCACTACAGGTACAAGTTCAGCCGCCCTGGGGGCCTGCACGCTGCAGATGGCAAGTGGTGGATCCGGAAGAGGATCGGCCCCTACTTCCCTCCGCTCAGCCTCCGGGACCTGAAGGACTACTTTAAATCACGGGAGTGGCCGTTCCCAGAACTGGAATAGAGGGGCCCAGGCCCTGTGTCCTGAGCAATAAAGTGGGAAGACGTTGGCACCCCAGCGCCACCGCCTGCACTCGGACATCCAGGAAAGCAAACCAGGAGGCGGGGTGGCATTGGGGTCTGCTGGGATTCTGAGTGGTCATCTGCTTTATTTTTTTAAAGATTTTATTTGTTTATTTTTTAAAGAGGGGAAGGGAGGGAGAGAGGAAGAGAAACATCAATGTGTGGTTGCCTCTCACACGCCCCCTACTGGGAACCAGGCCCGCAACCCAGGCATGTGCCCTGACTGGGAATCAAACTGGCCATCCCTTGGTTCGCAGGCCAGAACTCAATCCACTGAGCCACACCAGCCAGGGCATGTTTTTGTCATCTCCCACAATTGGTCCCAGGCAAGTCAGAAAGCCCCCTGCCCCACCATACCCCTAGTCATCTTCCTTGTCACCCCTAGATGGGACCAGGGTGTCCCAAGAGAGCTCTGGTTGATCTGGGACCACCAGCACCCATTGCACAGAGCCTCAGTTTCTCCCATTGGCCTTGGCCTGACTGGGGACGCGGGTCCCCTCGGGGTCCACAGCTAGGCCCTTACCCCTTAGCAGCACACCCCTGCTGTGTGCCTGGTGTGGCCGAGAGGAAAACCTCAGTCCCTGCCTCTCCTGCACATCCAGGAGAGGGGCTGAGACTGGGAGCAGCCCAGGCTCCCAATCCACCCTCGTGCCCACTCCCTCCTCAGAACCCCACAGACCTCGCACACACCCCTCCGGGCTGGCCTGGGCCCTGCATTCCTCCCCAGTGACCGGCATCCAGATACCACTTGTGCCCCCTTGGGTGGGCCGCCCCCACCGGCCCCTGAGCACAGTGCCCCCCGCGCTCCTTTGTGCCAGGTCCCCCAGTCACATACTGCGGAGCCTCCTGCTGCCTGGCCTGCTGGGCGAGGGGACAGCAGAGTGCTCAGCCTCAGCCTGGGTGGTAGGGTCCCCGCAGCGGCAGTTCTGAGGCCCACTTGTCAGAAGTTAAGCTGCATTAATTACTTTTTGCTTGGCAAACCTGGGCCCCCTGCAGTGAGATCCGGGGTGCAGCCCAGAATCCTCCCTGCCTGACAGGGGCTGTCAGTCAGTCAGGTGGTATCCTGCCAGACAAGCCCACGGCACCGCTCTAATCCTGGTCAGCCAGGCTGAGGGATCCCGAGGGGGCTGAGGCCAGCCCCACCCAGGGGACAGCAGGCCAGGGGTGCCAGGCAGCCCTTCCTGCTTCCCTGGCCTGGCAAGTGCCAGTGGGGATGGCCATCCACCCCTTCCCCCCGCCCCAGCCCTGCAGGCCCAGGAAACCTGGCCATACTGTGGAGGGCTCCAGAGAGGTGGGTACAAATGCAAGTCTGTGTGGAACAGACCCCCTCCCACCGGGGGGCGGCCCAGGCACCAACAGAGAGGCCGTGTCCCTGCTCTGGGGAACAGGCGCCCTGTGTCTGTAGCGGGGCAGGCCAGGCCGCAGACACGGAGCCTGGAGCCAGCGGGGCTGCCCGAGACCGCCAACCGCCAACCACCAGCCACCGCCTGGGCAGCCCATCCTGGGGGCTCTGCCAGTGGGTGGGGGCGCCAGAGGGCCTGAAGAGACCCTACACCTTGGCTCCAGCGGGGCTCCACACCCCTGCGGTGCCTCCCTGCCAGGAGCCGTGATGCCCCCCCGCCATCCTCTCTGCCCCTGGGCTCACTGCCACCTATGACCCAGCATCGTTGACTGAACTCTCTGGGTCTCCATCCGTCCTTGTCCTCAAAGCCTCCAGGACCCCCTACGACGCTCACAGGAGGGGATGGTTAGGCCGGCAGACAGGGCCGGAGTGGGCAGCAGTGCCAGGCAGCCCCTTGGCTCAGGAGCCCTCAGGAACCAAACTGCCCCCTCCCCGTCTTGGGACAAGACAAACGTCCACTTACCGGGGTGTCACAGGCCACTCCAGGACCAGGCTGTGAGGGCGCAGTGGCCAGAGTGAGGCGCCACCTTCTGACATGGGAGGAGCCAGCAGCCCTGCTTCTCCCACAGCCTCTCCTGAGGCCACGCCCTCCCATTGAAGCGAGTCAACCTGAAGCCTTCCTCCCCTCAGGAGCCTCCCACAGGGCCACCTCCCTCAGCATGACCCTGGGGTCACTGCCCCTTACCTCAGCCGCACCCTGCATCCTCCCCATTCCTCGTGCCCACCAGCAGACCAGGCCTTGGGGGCCTGCACCCCTCAGGGCTGCCTCACCCTACCCTCGCTGGACCCCGGGCTGCTGCTAGTCATGCTGAAGGCTGGTGGGGATCTTGGTCTGGCCCCCCAGTGCCAAGCGGCACCCAATACAGGTTTGCTGGATAAACCATCCCCCTAATGACAGAAAAAGGCCCAAACACTGTTCACATCTGCCTCTCCTGACATTGCCCTCACTCCAGCCTCATGAGAATCTGCTGATTCTCGGTCAGCCCTAGAGAAACTTCTAGAGCCGAGGGGGTGATCTGGGACATGAGGCAGGGGGTGTTACCTCACCTTCCCTCCAGACAGCCGAGTCTGGGAGAATGGGGGTACATTCTTCCCCCTTCTCTCCCGAAATTGCCCACCTGGGATCCAGGGGCCTGTGGGTGAGGTCCCTCCGCCCTACCCGACAGGAAGCACGGCGTCTGTTGGAAACTGAATGCGCACCAAACTCAGGTGGACATGCCCGTGTTGGACCACCTGTGTCCCTGCTTTCTCCCAGGGACATCAGGCTTGGGACCCTAGACACCGAGGTGCCCTCCGCCAGACAGTGGCTGTGCCTGCACGACCCGCCCCCTCCAGAGCAGCAGGCTTAGCCCGGAGCCTGGCCCAGGGAGGACACGCCGCACGTGAGGCAAGGTGTCTGCAAGCCTTCATCACTCCAAAGGGGCTCACAGCATCTCAGTTGCCACAATGGTTTGCACTCACTCGAAGACAATTAATTGCATTTTGGCGCCTGCTGGGGTCATGCACGTGCTCCCCTCAGCCCCGCTCAGATGACACAGTCGTCCTCAGGGGTCCAGTTCCAACACCACTAGGTAAAGTGGGTCTCAGTGTATCAGCAAACCAGCCTTCAAAACTCCCGGTCAACGAAATTGGCAAACCTTTAGCTTGACTGACAGAGAAGATGCAAACAACTAAAATTTTTTAAGATTTTATTTACTTTTAGAGAAAAGGGAAGGAAGGGAGAGAGGAAAAACGTGTGAGAGAAACATTGATTGGTTGCCTCTCGCACACACCCCAACCAGGGACCGGGCCCACAACCCAGGCAGGTACCCTGACTAAGAATGGAACTCATGACCTTTCGCTTTGTGTCACAGTTCCCAACCAACTGAGCCATGCTGGTCAGAGCAAATAACTAAAGGTGTAAAAAGTAGGGCACTACTATCAACCTTACAGAAATAAAAATATAACAGTACTATGATCGATTATATGCAAACAGATTAGATAACCTACATGAAATGGGCAAATTCCTAGAGACAAACTAACTACTAAAGGTGACTTGGGAAAAAGTAAAAAATTGAAAAGATCTCTAACAAGTAAAGAGATTGAGTCAGTAATCAAAAACCTCCCAGCAAAGAAAAATACTGAACCAGAAGTCTTCATTACTAAATTTTACCAAGACTTTAAAGAATTAACACAATCCTCAAACTCTCAAAAACACTTCCCAACTCATCCTATGAGGTTTGTAATACCCTGTCAAATCCAAAGACACCAACATCCTTTTGACTATAGATGCAAAAAATCCTCAACAAAAGGACTAGCAAAACAAACCTAACAACATGCTGGAAGGTCCTCACACCACTTAACAATGCAGAACAGCATGACCACCTCCACTGACACAGAAAAAGCCTTTGACAAAATGAAACACCCTTTCACATAATAAAAGGCATTCACGAGAAATCCACAGCTAACACGCTCAGGACAAAGACAAGGATACCTGCTCTGACCACTGCTTTTCACCCGAAGTGAAACTATCTCCATTCACAGAGGATGGTGCCTTATGTACAGGGATGTACTGCTAACAATGGGGGCACTTTCTGAGAAACAAGTCACTAGACAATTTTGTTTGTCATTATGTAGACACACACCCACATGGCGTCTCTGGCTACACATCTAGGCCCCACGGCAGGACCTGCTGCTCCTTGGCTACAGACAGGTAACATGTCACTATATGAAACAACCAGGGGTGAAATCAAGCTCCAGAGCACGGTACAGTCAAGAGATCAGCAAACCCAGGATGTGAGGGGCTGCTGCCACCCATGTGACACAACATACTGTTTTCCAGCCAACTTTTTTTAATATATTTTATTGATTATGCTATTACAGTTGTCCCATTTCCCCCTTCACTCCCCTTTACCCTGTACACCCTCTCCCACCCACTTCCCCCCCCTTTAGTTCATGTCCATGTGTCATAAATTCTTCAGCTTCTACATTTCTCATACTATTCTTGTCCTCCCCCTGTCTATTTCCTACCTACAATCTATGCTACTTATTCTCTGTACTTCTCCCCCTCTCTCCTCCTCCCATTCCCCTGTTGATAACCCTACATGTGATCTCCATTTCTGTGGGTCTGTTCCTGTTCTAGTTGTTTGCTTAGTTTGTTTTCTGTTTTTGTTTTAGGTGTGGTTGTTAATAATTGTGAGTTTGCTGTTCTTTTACTATACATGTTTTTTTAAATCTTCTTTTTCTTAGATAAGTCCCTTTAACATTTCATAAAATAAGGGCTGGGTGATGATGAACTCCTTTAATTTGGCCTTATCTGAGAAGCACTTTATCTGCCCTTCCATTCTAAATGAAAGCTTTGCTGGATAGAGTAATCTGGGATATAGGTCTTTGTCTTTCATGACTTGGAATACTTCTTTCCAGCCCCTTCTTGCCTGTAAGATCTCTTTTGAGAAATCAGCTGACAGTCTGATGGGAACTCCTTTGTAGGTTACTGTCCCTTTATCCCTTGCTGCTTCTAGGATTCTCTCCTTCATTTTAATCTTGGGTAATATAATTATGATGTACCTTGGTGTGTTCCTCCTGGGTCCAACTTCTTTGGGACTCTGA